AAACAAACGAAGAACAAAAAATAATTTTCCCATGAATGCCCCACATGTGTTATGTTAATTATGTGTATATAGACAGACGGTGGTCCCCATTGTCATTTCGTTCTTTTGTTATATTTTTCCCCATCGAGCTTAATCATAGCCTGTAAAGCAAAAAGTTATATATATATTATTCGTGTCTCTTGTCTGTCATACAATATCAGCTGTTGCCGGACTGGAAACCAAAAGTTATTTTCCCCCTTCTCATTTTAACTGTACATGCAATGCCTCCTTGTAAAGTAATCAATACTTTACCACACCATGAAACATGACAGAATATTATACAACGAGCCTAAAGAAAAGGGGAATCCCCCCCCCCCCTTTTTTTTTTACCTGCCGGATCTTTGGTTTCTTGTTCTTAAGACGAACTTGCTCGATGTAGACTTGTAGACCAACGTTTTCGTAGTTTGCGGAGACATATTTTTGTGTCGTGTGTTTGTTAATTTTTGAGTATGCCATTTGGCGGAAATATAGGCCTCACGTCGACCATTGTTGTTAAATTTATCCACCTTCGTGACTTTCTTAGATCATCATGTTTCTCCGTCTCTCAGTGAGATTAGAGGTGTAGTGTACGTGTTGAAGTTAAGCTGGCATTGAGAATTCTCTTTTGCAAGATTTTTCTTCATTTGCAACGTTCTTTTTCTTTCTCTTATGGAAGAATTTGGGTTTTTTTTAAAAGGGGGTAGGGGGTTGTTGTTGGTAAATTTACTTTTTAAAATCATTCCTTTGTCAGAGATGTAAATCACAACTGCACACTGATTTTTTAAACTTAGTCGTAATAAATTTTTCTCTCATGAGAAGAGGCTGGTCGAAGATCAAAAGGAGATCATTTTAATTAAAGGAATAAGAGGATGTTTTAAACAGATGGTCTGAATACATAGTCCCACAGAAAGTGGAAGTACAGTAGATTCTATGTCGTAAGCCAAGTTGCCGAAGTCAGGGAATTAAAATTTATTGGCCTAGCCAAACATTAAATGTATGCATTTATTTGCTACAAGGGGGATAACCTCGGAAATATGCTTACCCTCCCGTGTATTAGTTCCCTTATACTTATGTGAGGTTTCTTTGGAACGCCGAACAGAATATTATGTTGAACGATAGTGTTCCCGTTTTGACATAATTTTAACCTTTATATGATTTGTTTCAGTTACACTTAATAATTACACTGATGTGAAAATGAGTTTAAAGGAATTAAAACAATCAATGCTGGTCTGTGGTAAATACGAAACGACATATTTGCATGGCTCATATGAGGCATTATTATCTCCCCTGTGTCACGTGACTTTGCCTGAAATTCGCCATGATGGCGCCAAACATTGCTTAGACTGCACTTAAAAATGTTCAAATGTAATGACCTTGGGTGATTTGTTCGTTTGTTGTCTGTGATTCAAACTGATTAATTGTAAAGCCTTCCATACGGTAGAATAAACATGATTATCTACCCCAATGAGCTGATGGAAATTGCCTCGTAACATGCCAGACAGTGTTTTGTTTACATGGCAATCAACAAGGCATGGACGCCAGTACCAGTTGCCAGTCTTAGATCGAATCTACTTTTTCCCCGTTGCTAACAGTCTTTTATGGATTTACCATTCTGATGGTGCATACCATTCGCATGGTAATGTGCGTTACCGTAGACAGCTTTTAAGGGAACTGTGTGTATTGTTGATTCATGGTTAGCTGGTTGCTAATTTAATCTCCAGGGCCTTGAATTTGAATTTGAACAGAATTGTTTATTATCCACCAATATTGAATATTGGTGGGGCTTTTGAATTGCCCTGCCGTGCTGTTGGTAGTGTCGTGTCCCTGTTCCGGGGCTGGGTTGTGGTTTGGCATAGGGGTTGGATAAGATCTTGGGTAGCCTAAGGCCTAAAAAGGATTACTGATCCTCTTCTCTACTTAGATTCTAAATCTATAACTATAATAGATCTACAATAAGTTACAAGCGGATAATTAGAATTAGAGAACGTCGAATGTACGGCATTTTGGCCAATATTTATTATTTTATAGTAACAACAGCCATCTTGTTTGTGTCATAAAATAGTGTTGCTCTTCATTCTGACAAAAGACTTTCCAGACCTAGAGTCTACTGTCTCACTGTTTCATCTGAAAAAAATGAAAGCTTTTAAAAATTTTTAGCAGCTCTAAAAAGTTTGTCAAAATGTATTTATATGATAATGCTCCTAGCCTCAAAGAATAGGTCTTTCAAACAAGATGGCTTTTACTAGATCTATAAATATCGGCCAATGGCGTACATCTGACGTTCTCTAATTATCTGTCTATTACTTACTCAGTTACTAACTATCCCTTCTGACTGCTAGATCTAGTCTACTACACTAATTCTACTCTACAAAAGCTAGGCCTACTTCAGACCCAACCCACCTGTTACCCAAATCCAGCAAACACTAATAAAATTAAGGGACTGGGGTAGCGATATTTCGAAGGCATGCCGTCTGAAAATCATAGTTGATATTTCCACGGCATGCTGTCTGAACATCGGAAGTGATGCCTATACGGTATGCCGTCTTGAGTCTAAAGATCGGAATTGATATTTCGACGGCATAGGCTCTGCCTGAAGTGCCTCAATGCAAGATTTGTGTTTGTTTTCCAGGCGACGAGTCGGGTGATCATACCGACCCGACCCGATCCCATCCGGAAATGGGCACCCTACTGTTGGAAAAAAAACCATGATCAGTCTTCTCTCCATTTGGCTAGCACAAAATAAATTGTGCATCTCTCACTCTCGTTACAATCACACAAAACATTTCATCATTGTCCATAATGCACAAAATGATACTAAACATACAGGTATCTTAAATTGTATCTATGATAATTCGTTACTTATTATGGAAAAGAGATTATAGGCTTAGGCCTAATTATAAATAGTCCGGATGTTCTGATTGGCTGAATTTATGTGCCGTTGAATTATCATTTCCGATTTTTCAACGGCCTGCCGTATAAATATCCACTTCCTAAAATTAAACATGTACATCTAGGAGATTGCCCCTAAATCTAGACCTAATTTTTCTTGAGTTTAGACTAGGCTACAGTGCTGCTTATAACGGATAGCGACATTTTTGGGGCCAGAAAAAACTGTTGTTATAGAGAGGCAACCAAAAATTACTATATATAAAAGGAAAAAAATCGGGACATTGGCACCATGTCGCCATACAGAGGATGTCGTTATATCGACGAAGGAAGAATCTAGTATAGAGAGGTTGCACTGTATTACTTTACTTTCACTTTTGGACAAGAGATGCACGACTGTTTTTGGGGGCTAAACTGGATTTTTAAAACTTTTACCACCATCTCATGCTCAGGATGGTCCCTGTCCTGAGGACCTGCTAGAAGACAACCACTATTCTCCTCGACATTGCGCGATTGACATTGTCTTGAACACATTCTTATCTACTGAAATTTAAAAATTTCTGGATTATATTTTTATGTTATTTTAAAATTAAATGTGTGCCTTTTTTTTGATGACCAAATAAATTATCAGTATTGAAAATAAATATATAATTTGGCCACCTCTATTCTCACCCGGAGTGAGAATAGTGCAGGCGAGTCATGTGGCTATTCTCACCCGGTGCGCGTTCACCAAATTTTGCGTTCACCCTAAACCACAGAATTCTACACTGTGATAACAGAAAAATTGTAGAATTCTGTGCCGTGAACAAATGTTCCATTACAACTGTAGCCTACTAAAAGCGTACAATTTTGTCTGTGGGCAGTGGAGAAAGAGAGAGAGGAGTAGCGTGAGAATTTCCGGGCAAAACAAAATGGCGACCCACGTAGTTCGGCTCGATTCGAAAAGTTAATTAAATAGCTGTAGCTGAGTAGCATCTTTGTAGACAACCAAATTAATTTACTTTTGTGTTTTAAGTTAGTTTTAACATCATTTTTTAACTTTGTTTTGGTCAATTTGATCGTCCACACCGATAGACAGTATTCAGAAAGAGACAGAGAGAGAGAGAAGAGGGGAGGAGTTGATCTTGCGAGAACTTCCGGGCGGGTGAGAATAGCCACTTTCATATAATTTATAAGTAACACGTCGCCCCATAACCCAGAAATTATGTAATTTCAGTAAGAACGTGTGAAAGTCAATGGTGCAATGTCAAGGAGAATAGTGGACAGTGGTATCTTTAATTATAATAGATGGTCACGCAAGGGGGCCAAGTAGTAAGTGATTGATTGTACAGGTGATTGGGGCAGAATTCTGTAACGAGCGACCACTATGAAACAGAGTAGAATAGAGGGTAAGAGGTTGGGTCAGGGTTAGGCCTAGGGATGATAGGTCGTGTCTTTATATTGTTTGTTGTTTGGTCGCTCTTGACTTCAACAGGTGGTTGTCAGAGCAGGTTTGACTGATCATTGCCTCTGGACTTGAGGGTGTCGGGTGTAATAATATAGAGGTGGCATAAATTATACGTACGTACAAAAGAGAGCGTCATAAAAGCTAGCTGAGTTTTCCGGACTCTTGAAACGGCTAGGTCAGAGATGATTAACATAGAATTGTGAAGCAGTAATTGATAATTCCTAATATTTTATCCCAGTCTTGCCAAATGTTTGTGGGAAAAGCAGCTTAGTTTTTCATGCAACTTGAAGTTGTGAAAGTGAAATATTCAGGGTGTTAGTGTTAAATTGGATTGTGTAGTAAGAGTATGACATGCCAGAGGAATTTGCTTTTAGGAGATCTTTCATTCCGTAATATATAATGAATTATGTGAATATCTCAGAATTGAATCATGAAAGTATAATTAGCAGTATAAATTGTAAACTGTATTCACATTTTGTTTCTTTCATGTGTTCAACTCACAGTGTCTGTGGTCAGAGACTTCAGGCAGATTTGAACCCTGGATAGCTCAGGACTGCAGGTGGCCCACACTGATAGCTGGACCAGCATGCCGCTGAGCAAGAGCAGCAAGAGGGTCGTTGGCGGTCGCGAGGACAGCCCAGGTGAGAGCTAGTCTGTGCCGATGGGAACTGAAGATTGGCTTCTTACTTAATCAAGCTTTTAACGCTTTTATTCAGCCTCAGAATATACGTGTCTGCAAACCAGTACAAAATGTGTTCCAATGTTTTTGAGGGTCTTAATGTTTTTGTTGGAAAATATGTGTTCTCTGTTTTCTAGTACATTGGTAATCACTAAACTGCAAGCCAGCTTAGAGGAACACCTGCCTAACAGCAACCTTTGCTTGTTCAACTAAATTTTTTTCTGATTTGGATGATTGTCTTACTAAATCACAAGAGTGGGTTTATTATTTTTGCAATCTTAATTTCTGTTTGTAGTAAGTTAACATAAAAAAACCCAACTAGAAACGTAATATAACTATATATGATACATACGTGAATGTCCGCCCTTCCAGAACCCGGCCCGTCTTGCAGAGACAAGGAAAGCAGCGATGAAGAGGAGGATCCCATGCCCCGCAAGGGGAAAGCCTACTCTAGTAAGTCATGTTGCTAAACTAATAAGGCCATTTTCAGCTTGTTGTGTTGTGTGTGTGTATGGGGGGGGGGGGGGGGGGGGTCTTTTTTTAAGAATCTTTTTCTAACTTTTGACTTTTCATTTAATATTTGTTTTTTTAACCCTTCAAGCAGAACTTAGAGAACTGAACCAACAAAAGAAGCAGATTTTGTTCGTATTTTTTTAACTTTCAGAGAAATGTCTTTGTTCTTTTCTTGGTACCTCGTTTGTTGTCGTCATCTTGAACATGAATAGGGAAATTATTTAGCATCTAATCATCTATTGTTTCAATGTCTTTCCTGACAACTAGAGATCAAAATATAACTCAAAGGTAGGCTGTTATACTTGTACTGAAGTGTTTTAAGAAACAAGGGGTGATCCAAGCAATGATTGACATCTGCTGTCCCTCAGGTTCTAAAATGTCCAAGCAAGGCAAGAACAAGAAAAACCCGGCCTTTGTCAGCAAACAGAATGCGGGAACCCCAAGTCACAACAAGCCTGCTGAGGTGAGTGTCTGCTGTTTGCCCTGCACGCTTCGCTTTTCATCTCTTGTTTGTGGGTGCTTTGGTGTGGTTTGTTTCTTCTTTCCTTTCTAACACCTATCGTCTTTCATCTCTTCTTACACTGTTTTGTTTTTCACCAGTGACACCTCTATTGGTACTTGTATCATGACCTAATTGTGTTGCAAATGCTGTTGTAAAATTGTTACTAAAAGTAAACTAATCTCTTTTTGTCTTATTCATTTAGAAGCAGATTTATTAAGTAAAGATTCTAATACAGTAGTCTCCGCCTAAGATCCCACCGCTTACGATCCCGCTGTTTTAGGAAAACATAATTTTTACTATACAAAAGTCTCCCCTAAGATCCCGCTCTGATGGTCGACATTCGGCTAAGATCCCGCATTTCAGATCATAATTTGCTAAACAAAAACGCAGGCGGGCACAGCTGATCAACCAAGAGTGAAAAGTTGAGATCAATAAACTGTCCGTCG